TGAGCTGTAATGCCATGGCACTCTACCCAGGGGGACAGCTTGAGGCTCTGTCTCAAAAAAAAAAAAAATAGAAAAGTAGCTGGGTGTTGTAGCAGGCGTCTATAGTCCCAGCTACTCAGGAGGCTCAGACAAGGGGATCAGTTGAGCCCAGGAGTTTGAGGTTGCTGTGCACTATGATGATGCCATAGCATTTAACCTCAGGGCGACAGAGTGAGACTCTGTCTTGAAAAAACACACAAAAACTTAGGTTGTTTATATTATTTTTGGAGTGTAGCCGACCTCAGGTGACTAAAACGACAGAAAGTGAAACCATAGTATGTAGGAGACTAGTGTCATTGTTTTGGGTTTTTTTCTCCTCCCTCTAATTTCTGTTAATGTATTTTTGGCACAGTTTTAGAATTATCAGATTGGGTGCTCTCCTAGGAATCGTTATTATTGTATATTTTACTATTATAAATTTTGTGAGATACTAGGTGTCCTAGGGCTTTGCACTTACTGAAAGAGTTGTATTTTACAATAAAACCTTAGCTTTCTGGAACCCCAGGGTCTCTGAACAGCCAATTTTTCAGACAATTAAAAGTTTCATCTGAGCTACTTAAACATAAAATGTTTTTTGGGTAAATTGTTATAAGATAGGCAGTTTACTTTTCTGCCATCTTAACCAAAATATAGTAAAACCTCTGTAAGTTGGGCCACCAAAGGATTATTAAGAAACTGGTCAATATAGGGAGATGGTCACCATAAGGAACTGTATTGATATGTACATGTGATGCATGTCTGATCTATGAAAATTAGGTCAAGAGGAGGTTCCTGTATATCAGTGGTTCTCAGCCTGTGGGTCGTGACCCACAGGAACTGTATTAAAGGGCTGCGGCATTAGGGAGGTTGAGAACCACTGCTCTATATACTTAACATAATGTAACGTTTTCTTGATGACTCAGGGTACTAATTATTATTAATTATTATGGTGTACTATTTAAAAATCTAGATTTGGGGGTGGTGCCTGTGGCTCAAAGGAGTAGGGCTCTAACCCTGTATGCCGGAGGTGGTAGGTTCAAACCCAGCCCTGGCAAAAAACTACAAAAAAAAAATAAATAAAAATCTAGATTTGGGCAGGTGATTTGGCAAATGATTGGCCACAAATCAAATCTCACTTGCCGCCTATTTTTATAAATAAAGTTATTGGAACGGGGTGGTGCCTGTGGCTCAAAGGAGTAGGGTGCCAGCCCCATATGCCAGAGGTGGCGGGTTCAAACCCAGCCCCAGCCCCCCCCCAAAAAGTTATTGGAACATAGCCATGCCTATTTCTTTACATATTGTCTGGTGGCAGCTTTTGAGTTAGTAAGGCAAGAGCTGAATAATTGCCATAGAGACTGTATGGCCCACAAAATCCAAAATATTTATTTTGTAAATCTTTGCAAAAATGTAGAAAACATGTTTGCTGCCTCATGACTTGGGTCATAATGTTAGAGCTGGAGAGAATGCAGTCCAGCCCTTTTTTTTTTTTTTTTTTTTTTTTGAGACAGAGCCTCAAGCTGTCCCCCTGGGTAGAGTGCCGTGGCATTACAGCTCACAGCAACCTCCAACTCCTGGGCTCAAGCGAGTCTCCTGCCTCTGCCTCCCAAGTAGCTGGGACCACAGGCGCCCGCCACAACGCCCGGCTGTTTTTTGGTTGCAGCCGTCATTGTTGTTTGGCGGGTCCGGGCTGGGGATTCGAACCCACCACCTTAGGTGTACGTGGCTGGCGCCTTAGCCGGTTGAGCTATAGGCGCTGAGCCGCAGTCCAGCCCTTTATATTAACATTGAGGAAATTGAGGGCGAGCATGTTTTATGGAGGTGCGAATGAGTGACTGTGGGTGAGTCTCCCTCCCACATGAGGAGATGAGGGATCTGTCTTGCTGTCTGCCACTGCCTCTTTTCTCGTAAGTCAGAAGATGTGCTGGTCCTGGCTTCCAGCCACCATGCTCTCTCTTGTTTATTCCTTTTGAGTCTGCTGCCGTTTTCTTCTGTGCTTTTCTGCTGGCCAGCAGCTCTGCACCTTTCCTACCCTTTGTTCATTTTTTTACATATTGAGTGCTTCTTAGTTGTCGGGGAGCTGCATTTTGATGTCCTTTGGTCTTTATGGGCATTTCAGCAGAGTTGCTTGGGAGGGCCAACTTTGACCTTCACTCGTCCCATCAATAAAATACATTTTTTTCTGCATAAGGAATGAATTTTACTTATGAACAGTTTTTCATATTTTAGGCTGTTGCAAAAATGGTTCAGCAGTGCTGTACTTATGTTGATGAAATCACAGATCTTCCCATCAAACTTCGATTAATCGATACTCTACGAATGGTTACAGAAGGAAAGGTGAGTTTTCTGCTGGCACAAGTCATAGTGACAAGCACTGCCTTTTCTTTCTTTCTTTCTTTCTTTTTTGTTGTTGTTGTTGTTATTGCAGTTGTCATTATTGTTTAGCTGGCTCAAGCCTGGTTTGAACCCACCAGTCTTGGTGCTTGTGGCTGGCGCTGCAACCACTATGCTTGCTATGGGTGCCAAGCCAGCACTGCCTTTTCTATGTTCAGAGTTACTTATGTATTTAGACATCTTATATGCATATGTGTGTGTGCATTTAATGGAGAAATACACAAAATGTCATGACTTTAATTCAACCAATATTGTCTTTGTACATCTTCTAGTTTCTTCACATATGCAGATGCTATATTTAAATAGTGACAGTCTTGGTAGATCCAGATTTTTCAAAGAATTAGTGTTCTTATCCCAAATTTATGTATGGCTTTTTAAGAATGAATAAAAATTCTACAGGGGAGTGGTGAGGCCATTTTGGATATAGGGGAAATTACATATAAAGATAGGAAAGAGGCTCGGCTCCTGTGGCTCAAGCAGCTAATGCGCCAGCCATATACACCTAAGGTGGTGGGTTCGAATCCAGCCCGGGCCTGCCAAACAACAATAATGGCTGCAACAAAAAAATGGCCAGGCGTTGTGGCGGGCGCCTGTGGTCCCAACTACTTGGGAGACTGAGGCAGGAGACTCGCTTGAGCCCAGGAGTTGGAGGTTGCTGTGAGCTGTAATGCCACAGCACTCTACCCAGGGGGACAGCTTGAGGTTCTGTCTCAAAAGAAAAAAAAAAAAAAAAGATAGCAAAGAAAGAAAAACCTGGTATATCCAGGGAGCTGTAAGTAGTTTGAGATTATTGGAAATCAGGTTTTGAGGGTTCGGAGGGGGAAGGGGTTGCTGCAGAGCAGAGGCTGAGGGGATGAGCAAGATAAATACTCTTACACCTAGCTTGAAGAATAGTTTGATTCTGTCTTAAATGCTAACACATTTCTACAGAAAGTCTGACAATGTAAATTTCTCTTGTTTGTAGATTTATGTCGAAATTGAGCGTGCTCGACTGACTAAAACATTAGCAACTATAAAAGAGCAAAATGGTGACGTGAAAGAGGCTGCCTCTATATTGCAGGAGTTACAGGTAACGTGTCGCATCCCGACGTCTGTAAAGCCACACGATTAGTCAGCAGTCTTTTCTTGTGGAAACATAGGGTTGCGTATCCCTCATTCATTGTGCTTAGGACAGACTGTTTTCGAGTTTGGTTGAAAGCCTGTGAATGCATCTTTTTCCGTATAATCTTCTCAGTAGCCATTAGGAAAGTGCAAGTAAAAATGGCAATGAGGTACCACTACATAGCCTGTCAGAATGGCTGAAATTTAAAAGGTAAAGTACCCAGAGCTAGTAGGGATGCAAAACAACTGCGACTCTCATGTATTATTGATAGGCATGCACAGTGGTGCAGCCACTGTGGAAAACAGTTCAGCGATTTCTTAGAAAGTTAAACATACACTTACTAATGACCCAGCAGTCCCACTCCTGAGTATTTCCCACAAGAAAGGAAAAATTGTTATATTTGTGATAGCCAAAAGATGGAATTGGCACAGTTGCCCATCAACAGGTGAGTGGATAACTGATCTGTCCATTCGATGGGATATTACTAAGCAATAAGAAGGGATGAACTGGCTGGGAGTGGCAGCTCCCATCTGCAAACCCGGCACTTTGGGAGGCCTTGGGGCTGGGAGTTGAAAATCAGCCTGAGCAAGAGCAAAACCTTATCTCTACATCAGCTAGAAAAATTAGTGGAACAGGCTTATGATTCCAGCTACTCAGGAGGCTGAGGCAGGAGAATTGCTTGAGCCTAGGAGTTTAATATTGCAGTGAACTTGATGACACTGCCTTCACTTTAGCTGGGGTGACAGAGTGAGACTGTCTCAAAAAGAAAAAAAATGAACTATTGATATACACAACTTCAAATGAATCTTATTTAGGGTATTATGTATGCAGAGTAAATAAAAACATTCTCAAAAAATTACATAACTATTTGACGTTCTTGAAAAGACCGATCTACAGTGATGGAGAATAGATCATTGGTTATCTTATGAGAGCTTATGAAGATATAACTGATCTGAAGATACAGTTCTGTCATCCTAAAATACTCCCTCTTGCTAACCTTTTATGGTCACACTCTTCCTCCACTCATGATTATCTTCATTGTGATAATTACACAAATCCATACTTGTGTTAAAATTCATAGAATTTTATACCAAAAAGAAAAAAACATTTGCAATTGTAAATATAATTTTCTAGAGATAACTAGCTTTCCCTATATTCATGAATGTTACTGCTTAACACCAGTAAATATTTTAATATCTATTTAATTTTGTTATAATTCACAAAATTTACCCTTGTAAACTTATTTGGGGAATTACTCTTCCAGGTGGAAACCTATGGGTCAATGGAAAAGAAAGAGCGGGTGGAGTTTATTTTGGAGCAAATGAGGCTCTGCCTAGCTGTGAAAGATTATATTCGGACACAAATCATCAGCAAGAAAATTAACACCAAATTTTTCCAGGAAGAAAACACAGAGGTAAGATATCTCTGAATATATGTTTACTTGTAAAGCATTTGGCCGAGCGAGATGGGTCACTCCTGTAATCCTAGCACTCTGGGAAGCCAAGGCAGGTGGATTGTTTGAGCTCAGGAGGTCCAGACCAGCCTGAGCTCTATAAAAAAAAACTAGCTGGGTACTGTGGTGGGCACCTGTAATCCCAGCTACTTGGACTGAGGCAGGAGAATCACTTGAACACAAGAGTTTGAGGTTGCTATGAGCTGTGATGCCACAGCCCTCTACCCAAGGTGACAAAGTAGGACTGTCTCAAAATAAAAAAATTAAAAAAAAACATTTGAATAAAACCCTTAACTCCCATTTATTTTGTTAACCTTTTGCAGAAATTAAAGTTGAAGTACTATAATTTAATGATTCAGCTGGATCAGCATGAGGGATCTTATCTTTCTATTTGTAAGCACTACAGAGCAATATATGATACTCCCTGTATACAAGCAGAAAGTGAAAAGTGGCAACAGGTAAGAATATATTCTTATAATTGTCACTGATACCTATTAGGAAGAATGTGCATTTTTAATTTATTTTCAAATCATTTTAACTGCAGTAATGAGATGGAATTGTATGGTGCTGCTTTCTGTTCAGTGTTGATGTTAAATATATCCATACTGATTCAGACTAGTTGAGGCAGCAGTTTAAAATATGTATTACGGCCCAGCACCTGTAGCTCAGCTTAGGATGCCAACCACATAACATCGGGGCTGGCAGGTTCAAACCCAACCCAGGCCTGCCAGACAACAATGTCAACTACAACCAAAAAAGAAAATATATAGCTGGGTGTTGTGGCAGGCGCCTATAGTCCCAGCTACTTGGGAGGCTGAGGCAAGAGAATTGCTTAAGCCCGAGAGTTTGAGGTTGCTGTGAGCTGTGATGCCATGGCACTCTACTGAGTGAGACTTTGTCTAAAAAAAAAAAAAGAATATGTATCACTTTTGAAGTAATGTCGGCTTGCTGTTTAAAGCGTGTACAGCAGGTCACTTGCTAACAAAGGTTGCAGATAAAGACCCAGCATTACTTCGGAAAGTTTTTTTACAAAAAGTGTTTTAAAGTATTTATATGTATTTTCACATTTGTGTTGCTATCTTGTTATAATAACTTTTTTTAATATTAATTTGTCAAAAATGAATGTCAAATGTTAGCCAAGGTAGTGATTCAAATTAGCAAAGATTTATTGCAACAATTTTATGAAAACTTAAGTGTTATAGAAAGACACAATGAAAAGGCAGCCTGGTAAGATTCTTTCCCCTACAACTTTTTGAGTGCAAAATTAAAAATGAATATATACAGTTACTCCACAACTTTTCAGTTCTTGTGGAAATTGTCATTATATTTCTAGTCGTACATGTGACCTGTTTGCATTGCACAACTTTTTTAGGCTCTGAAGAGTGTTGTGCTCTATGTTATCCTGGCTCCTTTTGACAATGAACAGTCAGATTTGGTTCACCGAATAAGTGCTGATAAGAAGTTAGAAGAAATTCCCAAATACAAGTACGTACTTTTGTAATTAGCATAGTATATCTCAGTAGAAACACCATTTTGAAAGTAATTGTTAACACTTCTTAATTGGTTGCTGATAGATTGTATTATTGTAGAGGAAAACAAAAGGTGAACATTTGTTAGCGTTGCATTATAAATTAATATGCTTTCTTCTAAACTGCTTATCAAGTGGAAGTTTTATAATAAGCCTACTTCAGCAGCTTTTGATTAATTAACCATTTCATAAAGTTTTATCACTAGCAATTTGGGGCTTTGTGATTTTGGAAATACATACTTCTGAAAATCTGTTACATGAAATAGGCTTGCTTCATAAACTATAGTGGGCTTTTATTTGTTAAGTGCTTTTTTAAAATTTGTTTCATTAGTACTTTTATAGTCAGTTCCTTCAAAGATTGACAAATATAGGAGAGACCAGATATTCAGTAGGGAAATGCTCTATTCAGAATTAATGTGGAACTGGGCAGGGCAGCTCATGCCTATAATCCTAGCACTCTGGGAGGCTAAAGCAGGCAAATTGTTTGTGCTCAGGAGTTCGAGTCCAGCCTGAGCAAGAGTGAGATCCTGTCTCTACTAAAAATAGAAAAACTGTCCAGGTGTGATGACTCATGCCTGTAATCCTAGCACTTGGGAGGAGGAGGCGGGTGAATTGGGTGAGCTCACAGGTTCAAGACCAGCCTCAACCAGAGTGAGACCTCATCTCTATAAATAGCTGGGTGTTGTAGCAGGCACCTGTAGTCCCAGCTACTCAGGAGGCTGAGGCAAGAGAATTGCTTGAGTCCAAAGGTTCAAGGTTGCTGTGAGCTATAATGCCATGGCCCTTAAGCCTTGGTGACAGAGTGAGACACTGTCTCAAAAAAAAAAAAAAAATTAATATAGAAACAAGGGTAGTAAAGTTGGTAAAATTAATAATCAAATTATATCTCATTCTAAATAAAAACCAATAAAAACTGTTGATTTTTTTTTAATTTGCCATTAGTTAATACTTAATTTTTACAGATTTGTAATATTAAATTGTGTACAATTTACAGGGATCTTTTAAAGCTTTTTACCACAATGGAGTTAATGCGTTGGTCCACACTCGTTGAGGACTATGGGATGGAATTGAGAAAAGGTTCCCTTGAGAGCCCTGCAACTGATGTTTTTGCTTCTACGGAGGAAGGTGAAAAAAGGTGGAAAGACTTGAAGAACAGAGTTGTTGAACATGTAAGAATCTGGTGTGATAGAGAAACAATCTTTATTTTATTTAACCTTTAACATTTAAACGTGAACTATTTTATTTTTCAGGTTTGATAATGAAATGTTTCTTTTCTTTTCTTTTCTTTTTTTTTTTTTTGGAGACAGAGCCTCAAGCTATCCCCCTGGGTAGAGTGCCGTG